TTCATTAGCCTGATCTGACATGTCTGCTGGTTTTACTGGCAACTAAATATCCAGACAAGATAAAACGACAGGATGGGAAAGCAGAGGCCCCCGCACAGCAGGTGCTCAGGCAGCGCGGCCACACCTGCGGCCACACCTGGGCTAGTGCCCTGCGGTCACTGTCCTGACCTTCTCCGTGCCATCACCTCTGACCAGGAGTCTCGCAGGTGAGTCCGTGGGACAGAGGAGTGTGTGTGGGAGCAGAGGACATGCAGAGGCACCTGCCGCCCGCCCCAGGCAGAGCCACACAGACCACATGCGTCAGATGGAGTGGGACTCAGAGCGAGGACCAGCGACGCGTGTCACGTGGGGGACTGAGCAGGTGCCGACGGCCCCCAGAGGCCACGCTTTCCACTGGAGTCGGAAGGCGCTTCCAGCGGAAAGAGGCAGTGGCATCCAAGGCACACGAAGGACCAGGACCCAGCACTGCCTTCCTTCCCTGGCCAGCGCTCTGGGTGAGCTGAGGCTGGAGTCACGGAAGGACAGGGGTTAAGGTTCAAAATAATCTAGAATTCTTGCTTCTGCAGGAATCCCACGGCTCTGGCATGGGGTGCAGTGCCGGGGGGTGGTGAGGGGCTGATGGGAAGAATGCAGGGACTGCCTGGGGTGCGACAGTGGCCCGAAGGAGCCCCGGGTGGCATTGCTGTGACCGGGAAGCTGGGGGCTCCAGCCCACACCGTAGGGCACGTGGTTGGCAGAAAACGACCCCTCAGGGTGTCTGGGCCTAACCCCCAACACGGTGAGTACGTTATGCTGCATGCTGGGGGTGGGGGGGGGGTTGGGGGGAGGTGCAGTTAAGGTGGCAGGTGGAGATCAGGCTGTTAATCAGTGGCCTGTAGTAGACATGAACGTGGATTACTCAACTGGGCCCCACATGGTCACAGGGTCCTTAGAAGATGGAAGAGGCAGGCAGAGGATGGAAGAGGGGTGGCGTCAGAGTGATGGGAAACGAGGAAGCGGACCAGCCCTGAAGGCAAAGGCCGCACCAAGGAACGCAGTGGCCTTGGAAGCCGGAAGCCAGAGGCGGGCGCGGATTCCCTGGGAGGCCTCTGGGGACGCACTCTGCCCACACCTCGATGTCAGCCCAGAGACCCCTCCAGACTCCCGTCTGGAACACCGACAGGCAAACCTGTGCTGTTTCCAGCCACCGCGCTGGTGGCCATGTGTCTGAGCAGCGACAGGAAACACGCCCCCGCGGTCCTGCTGCCTGTGGCTGGAGGTACCTGGTGCTGTGAGCTCCTCCTCAGCCTCGGGGGTCAGCAGGAGGCCCCTGGGGCTCCACCGTGCGGGCCGCTCTGGCTCCCCCGCGCTGCTGGGTGGCGTTTTCCAGAAGCCACAAGACGTGTGACATCACAACAGACAATGGCAGAAGCTGTGGTGGGAACCAGCCGACTTCTGTGAAGCCAGACCGCAGGAAGATGCGCAGAAATGGAGAACAAGGGGCGCTCTCTCACAAAGTTAGTCTTTTAAAAAGTTACTTCTGCCCTCGCCGCTTTGGCTCAATGGATAGAGCATCGGCCTGTGGACCGAAGGGTCCCGGGTTCAATTCCGTTCAAGGGCACATGCCCGGGTTGCAGGCTCGATCCCCAGTAGGGGGTGTGCAGGAGGCAGCCGATCAATGATTCTATCTCATCAGTGATGTTTCTATCTCCCTCCCCCTTCCTCTCTGAAATCAATAAAAATATATTTTTTAAAAAAGTTGCTTCTCCCAGGTGGACGTCATTTTTTATTGTATGTTTACTATCACTGTTTTTAATAACAGATACTTTCAAATCACTGCTTTCATTTCTAATACAGAAAACATCCACATACACAGCCCACAGGAATAAAGTGTTTGGAGGCCTCCATGATGCCACTCAAAGTGAGGACAGACCGTGACTGTCCTTAGGAGCTAAACCAGGGGTCCCGGGGGAGGCCAACATCCCAGACTCCTGTGCCCGGTTCCAAGCCTCTCTCTGTCCTGCTTTCTGCGCGGCGTCCAGCAGAGAGCGCACTGCCCCCACGCCTGGGGCGCCCCGGAGCCAGTGCCGAGTTTCTGTCTCTGGCTGACACTCTCTTCCTCCCTGGGGGAGA